TAGACAGTGTAAGGTCACTGAAGCCCGAACGGAAAAGAACACATTCTGTCTCACGCAAAACCCAGAAAGACCAACTTTTCATATACTGTGTCATCTTTGACTAAAGCATTACAGTCTTCCTACTCGTACAGGAGCGTACAGTAATCCCATCTAACGCTTTCTTTTAAGCACACTTATGCCAATCACTTGAAACATCAGCCCTCCCCTCTTCAGGGAGCTGAAACATAATGAGTGTCAGTATCATTAAATCTACCGTGCTGATATTAAATCAGTATCATTCAAAAGGGGCTCATGCTGATATCATTGCCTCTGAAAGTGCTGATGCTGCTTTGGGACCTGCCGGCCGCTGTACGAGAGGATTTTGCATCCATTCAGAGATTCTCTAATTCCCTCAGGGACTATACTGCACAGTAATCCACTTAATTTACAATTACCCATGCAAGCCACACTGATATGGAATGATAAATGGACTTATGTAATCCCTCTGACAGAGCTGTTGAGCAAAGAAATCAGATCATATACACAATAACCGGCCTGATACGTATCCTCCCATGATCTGTGTTTGTACACACAGCATGTTGTCGTACTTATATGAACTGAGGTACACACTCATGTACTCAGATATTGACAAATATATGTTCTCAATGAACCCCATGTATCTATCTCCTCTCTCCATACTGTCTTTAGAGAGCAGCAGGGATAAAACCAGGCTGTGCAGGGCGAATGTTAATGTTTTAACTCCCCTGCCAAAGATCAGAGCAGAGCCTGCTCTCCTCAGCCCTTTGAACTCCAACATACTTTTCCCTATTTCAACCTCTGTCCTCGCCTTAACTGCGCTGTAAGCTGCTTGGTATTTGGTACAGAGGGAGGATATATTGGCAGGAGGATTTTGAGATAGTAGGCCGCGAGTGAGTTCTCTTATTGTACCTGTAACCTGAGAGTCTAAGGTGGTAGCAGTTCTTTGAGAGCCTCTCATTCCTGCGCTTGGAAAGAACTCTGCAAAATAAGACACGTGGACCTTACTGGAAAAACAACGTTATATTTTAGATGAGTTAAAGGAATATTCTGATGTAAAATTAATTTAGGGTCAAACACACCGTTACCCCGAGTTAGACACCACCTTGAGAGATGACTGATGCTGACCGCTTGCTTCTCTAGTTATACCAACTTTAGTAACGACCGCACTCAAACACCTCAACCAAAACACCACTCTATAGCTACAAATAATGCTCAGAACAGCACCTAACTTCATCTACAGTACATGTAGGGTCCCAGCCACAGCACTAGCCAGCAAACATCTTGGTCAACACAACTTACATACTCTCTTCCAGCAGCCTGCCACCGCAACTCAAGGAAGAACATTTATGATCATTTCTTCATGGAAATGCAATCAGACCGAGACGCTAAGGCAGAAGAACTACCGGGTCTGCAGCGCAAAATGATTAATATGGTGATTATTACTTCAAGGAAATGATAAAGAAATGATAAATGTTCTTCCTTGAGCTGCGAAACCTCGCTGTAGTCAGTAATGGACTGGCCGGAGGTCTTGTACAAACAAGCGGCTACTGAAAGATGTTTGGTGGCTAGTACTATGGCTGGGACCCTATATGTCCTGTTGATGAAGTTAGGTGCTGTTCTGAGCATTATTTGTGGCTATAGAGTGACGTTTTGGTTGAGGTTTGTTTATGGCTCCTCAGGCCGCTCTGTATTGCTATCCTGCGGTCGTTACTGAAGTTGGTATAACTAGAGAAGCAAACGGTCGGCAACATTCATCTCTCGAGAGGGTGTCTGGAATATCCCTTTAAAAGACTTCTATATTTTCAGGAATTAAAAGCAAAACTCAGCCATGTGCCATGACCTAAACTTTGCGGTGAAGAGCACATATAAAACCAATTTGTCTTTTTCTTCACACTTTCTTCTTTCCTGCAAAAACAGCCCTTTCCTGACTTATCTACAATGATGCAGTTCACAGTCTTTATCTCCACATGCTTTAATAACACTAACAGGAAATGTGGCTCTGAAATCTGCTCTCTTGTCGCCAACTTGTAAATTAGGAGCCATACAACTGGTAGAGCTCTAAATCTGTCATGTTATCCATGTCTGTGTACAGTCTGTGATTGTCTAACGTTTAGTATTGAAGCTTTTAGCAGACACCATTTCCCATAAACCTTTTGACCCACGGGCCAAATGTCACAGCTTAGTTTATGTCCACAGGAGGGACGAGGGGGGTGTTGTTTTGGTTTAACTCCATGTGCAGAGGCCACAGTCCTCACTGTAACGTACACACTGGGTCCAACTTTAAATCTCAGCCTTGTTATTACCAACTCTCTTCTCCTAAATGTAGGGACTGTAGTTTGGATATGTCTGTTTTAAAATCAGGACACAGTGAAAAATGCTTATTAAAAATTTTGGACTAAAAAGCAAGCCAACACTTGGCTCGTGGGGGTAGTTTTTTCTGGTTCTGGACAGAAGTTTCTGCTCTATTTTTGGTTAATTCAGCTTCAGATTGTTGTAGTCAAGGCATCTTTTAAATCTGAGCATGTCACTTTAATCAGATTAATCAGATGTGACATAAATGCACAGTTTGATTCTGATTTGATTTTAACTTAGCCGCAACACTTTTACCTGCTTTGCTCTCCTCTGAGCCACTGAACTGGCAGCACCAAAATAGGTGCTCAGTTCAGAAGCGCCCTTGGGGGTCAGACGTTTATGTCACAACGCTGACAGCGTAAACAGCATTTGCAGCTGAAAATAGCTGTACTTTAGGAGCACAGCTGCACTGGTCCATGTCACCTCTCCAACGCTGACCAATTACGAGCAAGAAGGAGTGAACTTCTGAATCTAACTCAGTCAATGACATATTTGTTGGATCGATGCATTTCCGGTGCACTATGTTAGCAAAAAGGCGCAGTGGTGGTGGAGCTTCATCCATTCGTCCTCTGCTCTTACAATCCTGACCTTACTCCCCCTCACAAATTTAAATTGGCTCTTATTTTAGTTTCTAGTCAGAGATACGCAAATCAATTCCCTTATTCCACATTTTAATCACTATCACTTGCTGCTTTTCTTGTTCTTCCTTTCTCTCTGAGTTAGCCTCTTTGACCCTTTGACTCGGTCAATTGTGCTCCCCATACCTCCCCTCTCTCTCCCGCTTTGATTCACACATTTTAATTGCCAGTTTCCCCCCCGTCTGAGATCTTTATTCATACTGAGATTTATTGAGATTTAGAGAGATGAGAAAGGAATGTGAAGAAAGGAGCAGAAAAAGAAACAATATATTTTGGGGTTTTTTTTTGCGAAGAACAGCAGATGTTGATAATAGTGATTAGCCTGTAGTCAGATAGCTCAGTCACTTCTTACAAACGGGGAAATAAACCACAGAAATCACCCTCCACAAAAGCAAACAAGGACGCTTTTCTCTCCCTTTGTTACGAGTATCATTTGCAGTCCGCAGCCTTTGAGAAAGAAAGAAAGAAGGAAAGACGCCGTGAAGGAAATACAGCAGATCAAAGCGTCTCCCCCCTCGCCCTCTCTCACAGCCGTGCTTATGCGGAGAACGACAGATCTGGGTGATGAGTTGACGTCGGAGAAAACGTTGCAGGGGAAAAAGGTTAGAATGACATGTGAGGGCATGTTATGACTGCTGCCTTGACTTGACAGTGCAGGGTTAATTATGGATGGCCTCCTCTGTTGGGAAAGGCTCAACGCTAAGTCGCACAGACGACTGAGGCTCAGCTGCCTTCTGGCTATGTGTGCTAGGCCTTCTTATGTTTTATTACTGCTCGAGGTTGCCGTGGGGTTGTGGAGCTCCAATCAGGAGTTAAAACAAGCTTTCTGACATGAGAAGTTAACAACACTTTCAGCTGATGTTTTATGGCTGACCCATTTTTTTTTTTTACTCGCAGGTTATTAGCAAAACACCTCCTCTGCGGACCAAAGAGACAGTATAATGACTGGACTGAACAGAGTGAAAGGAGGAACGAGTAGTGATGGGAAGAACAGTTCTTCAGACTCCGGTCATTAAAGTGATTCGTTCAAAAGATTCATTTACTGAATCAGTCAGTGCTTCAGAGTCCTGTCCTGCCGGGTGAAGTACACGAGTGAGTGACACTGATCGGGAATTCGTTCTTTGAATGAAACAGCATCATTTATTGGGTGACACGTGTCGTTTATTCACCAAGCCGGGAAGGAAGAATCACTCCCCTGGCATTGCGACGCGAGTGAAACAACACAGCAGCGAGCAGCACGCCTGCTAAACAAGTGTGAGTCATCGTTCTTTTATATCGTGGGAAAGTGGAGAGATTAAAAATAAACACACAGTGATCAAACCGGTGCTCTGCAGTTCGTGAAAGACCTTAGGCCCCTCCCTCCTCTGCCTGCCTCGTCGTTCGGAAGTTGTCCATTTCGTTTACAGTCTGACTGATACATGTCATTCATTCGCTGTGAGCATATCACGAGACTCCACCTGCCCACTCGCTCACTCATTGGCTGGCTGTGTTAGTTCACCAAAGAGTCAATGGTGGCAGTTCCACTCCCGACTGGCACGCCATGCTCACGGCTGAGCTCAACTGAACTGAGAAGGGAACAAATCACAACACTAGGAGCTAGAGAGAGGCTAACCTGGGAATCCCACTGGATCGGGAACGGCTCTGCTCTGCTCTGGACCAGCAGTCCAATCAGATACACAAGCAAACAGCGCCCACGGATTCGATCCGCCACCACCTTTCCATCAGAGGAGAAGCGCTTTCTCGTGAGACTGGGTGAGATCTCATGAGATCTTTCGTGTTTCTCCGGGAGTAATAGAATGAGATCCGCTAATCAGTGTATATAAATGACGGTGTATATAAACACCAACATCCCACATCCCTGGCCTCTCCTATTATCAAGTTAAGACCAGTTCAAGTTACTCTGTACTGTTACTGTTACTCTGTAACCGCATACAACTTCCGCTGCTGCTCGTGCTTTATGGATCGGAGTGCTGGAGAGTGGTTGAGAGCAACATGAAAAAGATCAATGCCTTCCACAACGGATGTCTCCGTAAGATATGTCGAATCCTTTGGCCAAACAAGATCTCCAATGAGGACCTTTATAACGAGACAAACTGCCACAACGTGGTGCTGGAAATAAAACATCGCCGGCTCAGACGGCTCGGACATGTCCTCCGAATGGACCAGGACCGCATCCCCAAAGTAGCCTTGAGATGGACTCTACCTGGAAAGAGGAAGCAAAGGGAGGCAAGGACAAGGACAACATGGCGGAGAACTGTGACCTCAAAACTGAAGATGGCAAATCTAACATGGGGCGAGGCACAACATGCTGCACAGGATCCGACCAGATGGAAGCAGCTGTTCCACAGGGAATGAAGAGGATTAAGTAAGTAAGTAAGTCGTGCTGCACTGCATTGAATTGATGCACCATGCTGCGGCGTCTGGCACAAATAGAAGCCTATCTGATGCGGCAGTGGAGCCGGATGGATTCTGTGAAATGCCACACATTGATTATAAGGCTTGCGTATTTGATCTGCCCGCTGTGCCGTGCCGGTGCGGAGCCGTTCCGGATCGTGTGGGTTTTGCCCGTAAGGAGCAGCAGTTACTGAACCATACTGACTGTAAGATAAGTTCCTCATGTCTTTAAAGCAGTAACATAAACTTTTGAACAAAATGTTCTTCCTCCAAGATCGATGTGAGACAAACATCGAGCATATTTAAGAGGAAGCATCTCTATTGCTAGCTTAATTTGGCGATTTTCATGGGTGCCATGATGCTAACGCTGCTAACACAGAGTGAGTTGCACTGATTTGTTTAAGGACGTTGCTGCCAAATGTGCCTCCAAAGTTTCTGCCGCATCGTTCTCGCATCATTGCTGAAGCACTTCAGATTCATACACTTTTGATTGGCCAGATGCCACAATTAGCTCAGTCAGGAAAACAAGCGCTCTGAACAGCCTGTTCTGCCGGAGTTTATCTATTTAAGAGACCCTGTGTTTTTTCCACAGAGTTATAGATTGGAATAAAGTGATGTCAGCATGAAACAAAAGCCTGAAACATTTAGTCGATTTACTGTCCTGACCTGGCGAGGAGAAAGTTGCTCACGCCAGAAAAGTGCTGGATTTGTCTCTATTGTCTGCAGTCTGGGAAGTAATTTGCTGGCTGCGTCTCTGTTAGGGGAAATGGGGGGTAGTTTTTTTGCTACGTCATGGGGAATGCGATGATTCATGCTAAAAGAAGCCTAACATCTGGCCTCATTAATCATTTCTTTTCAAGTGTGTGTATCGGGAAGCACTTTTTCTCTTTTCATCCCAATCTCTCCCTTTCTTTCTTCCTCTTTTCCTCTCCCCCTTTTTTCTCCCCCATCTGCACTGCTTGTCATCTGTTGACGTTCTGGCATGCCTCATCACCCATATCACTCCTCCCTCCTCATTTGCACCCTAATTTGTTTAGATGGCGGGAGGAAGAGAGGGATGAGAGTGAAAGTAAGTGAAGTGTGGAGGAGGAGAAAATAAGGGAAGAAGAAGAAGAAGGGAGGGGAAGGGAGAGGAGAAAAAAAGGAAGAAGAAGTGCGGGGTTGTTAATCAAGTTTGATGAAACCAGTTTGCATGCCGTTTAACAGTTAGGGAGTTTCTCATTACTCACCGCGCTCTGAGTGAACGCAGTGACACATCCACATTAAAGACACATGCTACATGCCCCGGGGCTAACCACCGCACTGATAAGAACAACATTTTCCACAACGCGGGGATGACTAAGCCCCCCCCTCATACACACACATTTACACACACATTTACACACACCAGCCATCAAACATCTACAGGGTTCAGAAATTGCTGCTTTCCGACTAAGTTCCCATGACCGCGGTCGTGTCAACTGACGTGTTTGTGACTCTTTATTGCATCTTACGGCTTCAGAGACACGTCGTTTATGATTTAAAATGGAAAGTTACGACCGCGACTGTAGATGAACAAAGGGCGGATGACATTTCGGAAATCAGACAGCACGACAAAACAGATCTAAACATGCCTACAACATTCAAAACATATCAGCAAAAGCTTGATTTAATAATGAGTTACAATTCACAAACTGGCATGTCTGGAATATTTTCTGTAAATAACAATTTTTCTTGTTCTTCAAAAGGATAAAAAAAAGTCTTTTATAGTTGTCATGGAGACCCAGTAAAGCAAGGTCAATAAAAACGGAGCTAGAAAGAATATTTGGTGTAGCTGAAAATTGTTTCAAAAGGCTTCTTCTTTTTTATTTTTAAAAGATTAACTGGAGAGTAATCAAACTTGAAGCTTGAAGAAGTAATAAAAATTGTATCTCTATAACTGTAAGTAATTTTGTTAAATGAATTAGCCAACACAACAGTAATGACTCTAATCGAGAGCCTCTGCATTCATTGAAAACCAAAAGCAAATAAAAGACGGGGAATTAGTTCAACTTTTTCAAAATGCATGCAAAATTTTTGCATGTTTCAACAAGCATGTCAACCACAGAGTTTACTAAACGGAGTCAAGTATTAACTCACCTTTTAACACATTTATACTTGAAACGGTGTGTCATTGCTTTCTGGTCTTTGCGAACACTGACCTGGGAGTCTCCTGGAGTGAACAGCTATTACCAATTATGTCCACAGGGGTCGCCAAAGACAACTTTATCATAACATCCAGCCTTCTTGGCTTTTTATTCAAGCTACTTATAGTTTAAGTTTCCAGAACCATAAATTTAATGCAACAGTTTAAAAGAATCTGCTTTTTAATAAGAAATAATCATGCAACTTTGTGCAGGATTGACCTGACTGATTCACAAGCTCATACACAAGATGAAGTTCACCACAAACAAAAAGTGTTTTGTCTGTGCCAGAGTTACTCAAGAGCACACTGTCCCACATGTGTAGAGAGAATCTGGATCTATTTGGCAAAATGTGTTTTTGAAAGGCTCATCAAATGGGTAGATTTCAGTTTACTGACACTGAGATACCAAAGTGTACCTCTAAAGAGCACAGAATGGGAATGCTGATGCCTCATCTATGCAATCAGATGCAAAACAAGAGCAAACTGCACAAAGTTGTAAAATTTATAGGCACGTTTGAACATTGTTACTGCAGTATGCTTTGTGATTTAGACCCTGAGAAGACGCAAATGGTGGGAAAATTATAGTAATGAACGATTCTTCGTGGTATTGGTTACTGCAAAAAACTCTCAGAGAAATTCTCCCTCAGTGTCTTAGTCACACACTGGTTAGTTTGAAGACAAAGGAGCATTTTGGGGTAAATATTTTGCCTTGTTTAAGTGTAAAAATTCAGTAGTTAGTGGTAATGCAACATGGTTGTGGTTGCCAAACAACATAAAACTCAATAACAGAAGGCGACATTTGAGAAACAGCAGTTTCAAGTTGAAGCTTCGTGCTTCGACATGGACACAATACCACCAGAATGCACAACATCTGTCAGATGCAGTTTGAGAACAGAAAATGTAAGAAGTCTGTAAATATTACAGGACTTTAATTCAAAACACCAACTCATAAAATCCTTTAACCTTGGGGCAGCAGAGCTGGATAAGTAGAAACTGATATGAGGTCTGACAAGGTTCTTCCGAAACTCCTTCCTGCTTCAGGTTTATGAGTGGAAAGAGCCAACTGAAGCCCTCACTCACAGTCTCCTTCCAGATGTCTGCCAGATGGGAGCGAAAAAGATATGCAATAGAAGAGGCATCCATCTACATGGAGTCATAGGAATGATGATTGCTTTGTGTACGTGTACAATATCCAGAGAATATGCACGACTTTAATTCAAGATGTAGAATTATTCGAGACAGTCACCCGCTGATGCATCCATATTTTACCATGATTACCTTTTCTTAGAAATCTTGTGCTCCTCACATTCGGGAGTTTTCGACTGTATTGCATAATCTTTGTAGGTAGTTGTCACTTTCATTCTTGATTAAAAGCACTTCAAAGACTGCTCATTTAAAGTTTTTTACAGTGTAAATTTTGATCTTATAACTGGTAGATAAATGTGACTAAAAAGCCCTGGAACAATTTGACCGAATGCATCTCAGAGATGTCTTCTTAACTGCTCTTCCCTGTTCCAACATTGATCTCCTGACCTGCTGTTCCTGGATGCTGCACATCAATACCCCAAACGTAACGTCAACAAAATTTATCTTCAGAATAAACTTTACACTCCAAATGCAAAATATTTTGCAACCTACGGAGAGCGAGATTATGGGTGGTTTACTGTGTGTTTGACGGATGACGAGTCTTTATCGAGAACATTTGCAGGCTGCGAATGCTCTCAGAAATAAGCATCTGATTGCACTTGCATACCATAAGTATTGCAGTTGTTGCTTACACAGAACCAGACCGTGCATCGTAAATTATGTCAAAGGCCATGAGAAGATGCGAGTTCTTGGTATCTATCTATTCGGCATCAGATCCAGAGTCTATCTGCTGTGTCATGTGGAGAAAACTGTCCTCTATTTCTCGCCAAATGCCGCCCATTAAAAATCACCCAAACCATGTTTATTCTCTTGTGCTCAGAAAATGGCTCAAATCTGCATTAATTTGGGAAAGTCTTTGGCGAACTGTAGACACTCGATGTGTGTCTTCACAAGCAAGTAGTCTCAGCATTTATAGAGTCCATTACACTGCACTGAAGGGAAATCAAAGCAAAGAGGCGGGCACGTAACATACAGACACATATTTCCACAAGGACAAGAAGTCATCCAATTAAGTGAGTTTAGAGCAATCTGCGCAACAATAGCTACATCAAAACGCACGCTGAAGCCATTAGAGGCCGCATAGCTGTGGTTAGTTCGAGCCGTGAAAACAACCCTCAGTGTGATTCTGCATGATGTGCATCAGCGTCTATTCGGCGGAGCTGCTTACCACACCTACAGACATTATCAAGGACTTACTTGACTCACCAGTGGCCTCTGCACTTGAGATAAAGTGTCATGGGTTTGAACAGAGCCCAGCAGGTTTTCTCCGTGATCAAAACAGCATTTCGAAGTATATTTACAGTAACCTTAAAGCCATGTTTTTGGAAACAGAGCTTAAAATTGGATTAGGTCATGACATGCAATGAAGTGTGCTGAAAGAATAGAGGAAAATCTAAATATACAATAACTGATTAAACTAGGCTAAACTAAGAACCAAGAGAAGAAACCACAGCGAGGTAAAGCAGGGCTTTAGTTTCCTATAAATACTGATCGTAGCAAAAAATATGTCCTTTAAAGAGTTTGTTAGATACCAATATTTTTTACAAGACTGGACATGATCTCACAAGATCTCGCGTGTTTCGCCGTGAGACCTGTCAAATCTTATGTACGTAACATACCGAGCAGTTAAGTTGACGTCAGTAATTTCATT